CTTTGAGAATATGTGTGGCATTGATCCAATTATCGCCTCGTCGGCGCATAACACTTTCGCCATCGATTTTGAACTCGTATACTGGAACCTATTGAACCGTGTTAGATTGGCTGCGCGGCGAAGGAAGGGGTAAGTTGGATGGAAAGAGGAAAGGGAGAAAAATCGACGCTGTAGGGAATGATAGAGAAACGCGATTAGAAAAAACTCACGCTGCTGTATGTAGCAGAATAGATTTTTGAGAAATCCACCGCCGCCATAATGCCCGTCTCCGCAAACCGTTGTGATGCAATCAGTATGTTCCCGAACTGTTAACAGCAGGTGATTTGACGCGGCTTGACGGCCTCTGATGGCCAATCGCGAAGCCTAGATTAACCTATTTTTGGGGATTAAAGAGCATGCGACAATGTAAGAGGCTACTAGATTATGAAACAACAGCTTTGAAGACGAAAAGATAAAGTATTAGCCACCAGTGGCTCTTTKAACAGTCAGTGACATCCCAGAAACGCGATGCTTTGCAGGCTGGCTAGTGAAGACGCGCTTGGGAGGAAAGAACCGCGTAAAGTGGTCGGGAAATGCGCTAGTCCCATTGCGGAGTATATCACGTGGTATCACATGACCGCATCGCGGAACGAAGGAACAGCAATGGATGCCAGCAGGTGAAACATCGCTGCTCGGTCGCTTCTCGGTCGCTTATCCTTCAACCACACTCTTCCCTGCAATACTTTTGTCCATAAAATGACTGTCGTGGAGTCAGTGAAGAGCGCCGTTGGGCTTGGGGATAGCACTGGTATGCTTTGGTGCCATTGGCATTCGAGTCCTGAAATCGGACGCCGAAGGATTGATATCTGCAATGACAGCTAACTCATTGAGATAGTTGCTTCCCGTCAAGAAATGTCCGATGCTCGTCTTCCCCTTCCGTACCGAGACTCCTGTGCACACCTCCTGATCCCTTTGAACCGTTGCCGACAGCAGGAGTACTACCTTCCTTGGAAATGCGAGGTATTACAACCGTGCTTTGCGTCCCGAGTGCTTGACTTTGGACTTTCCGGCAGCAACTAACCTTAAACCTCTGCTATAGGATGAGAGACACAGCTACGAAAAGTGTCAATACGAGGAATTCAAGAAGCGCGTCGCCAAGATGGATGAGTTGCGAGCCGCGAAGAATGGTGCCCGGAGCAACTGATTTGAGAGACACCAACTGAGGAACCGCTATGTACATAATAAAGATTATGAGGCTATTTGTCCATGCACTGACTGGCGTTGGGATCTTTCTTCGCAATAAAGTTGCCGAGACTATGCCAATGAGCACCTAAGCCCTGTTGATCCGTCGAGGCGCCTTCTCCAGGGACTACATACCTTTACACGAATTGAGTTGGTCGACTCCAAAGCTGGATGGTGATTGCGGATCGCTGTTTGCCCTCGGTGTTTGTCAGCAAATCTGCTTTCCAACAGAACTAGCTCTTCGTGTTCTCGTATAGATATCCGTCCCCACTTCCTATCTATTCTTCTGCAGGACTTCTGTTCGAAATGTAGCCATTTCCGAGCGGCGCATATATGTGCTTGATCTCGGGGCAGTCTCGATGTGTTATGCCATTCAGCGGAGACAGCCTCACCCTCCCAGTAAACAGTCTTTCCTCGAGTAACATAAAGAATTCAGTTTTCAGCTCTGCCTGGATGTCGTTCCGAAGTTTGCATTAGAGCAATGCCATATAAACAACCTATCATCCGTAGCACGCTACCTCAATTGCATCGGCATTATCGAGAAGTTCGAATGTCTTAAACAACTCATCAACAACTCATTGACGATGGGTAGTAAGTTACAAAAGCGTCTGTCCCCTAGTTGTTTGCTTTGAAAACTAAGCAAGCTTCGCCCTATTACGTGCCACAGACGTAATCACATGATCCGATACCTCCGCCCTTTGGAACATTACCAGGTTGCTTATAAATCTTCTTCGCGCAGTTTCCGCCGCCTAATCAGCAAACATACAGTATATGGTTTTTTAGTGACTATTTCGATTTTTGCTGCCCCGCGGGAACGAAAAATCCTCCCCCACTACTATGCCAGTGGAAAGGTTTACGCCAATAGGCGATTGATTCCGGCCACCGAAGCTTCGGCGCGAAAAAGCAGATAAAGTCCAACCATCACTTCTGTGATGATCAGATAATCTCACTTCTTCTTCTCCTGTTACTGCGTACCTTAGATATTTTGCATCGCTTGCCACGGACATTGGTTGCGTCTTACTCGCTGGGCCCGCCTTCGTTCGAGGTCTAGACTGCCAGGGATTTCCGCCTCCTCTGTGCGGGTTCTCGGATTTGTCCTCAGCTTGACCGCTTTGGTTGATTGTGCTGTACTGGTTGGGTCTTTCATGATACGATGGGTTTACTGTATGTCAAGAGTGACGATGCGCAGAATCTGGTGCTAATGTTAGCTTAAGAGCACTTGGAACAGCACTTGAGTGGGAGGAAGCCAAGAAACGTTCCGATCAAGTACGGAAATGGGGAATCGAGGTCAGTCCCTTGAAGTCAAGTTCTCTGTCCGTGCGACATGGGATGCCGGGGCTGTTACTGACATGACGGATAGCAATTACTGGCTATCTGGAATAGAGCCAAAGGGAAAGAACGTGATGCCCTGCTCTGGGGTGACGAGGTAGATTGCTCTTCCATCGAGTTGATTGCTCTTTCTGGCCAAATGGCTCACACGGAATCAGGTTGAGTACCTTGTGGTAGCTGTCGACGACGAGGCTAAAAAAGCGCGATTGTCTCTGGCTCAAGCTGAGATTCTCAAATCCTTGGCCAGAGACGAGGCATTGTGGAAGGAGAAGCGCTCTGGTCCGGCACATGGTAAAGAACAGTAAGCTATTTCGGTCATGTGCCTTATTACCGGATCTGCCTAACACTCAGCGACTTAGTGAGGGCGAAGAACCTCCCCATTTCCATCCCGAGTTCGGCCGCTTTATGCTAGAGGCTACTCCGGGTAGGCCGTGGGGTATCGACTTCAAGGATCTTTTGAAGGTGGAATCAAATATGAAATGGAGGTACGTTTGCTATTGCCCTCAATCAGTATGTATTTATGGTCACTAATGTACGATTCAGGCGGGAGATTGCAAAGTCTCACATGGCGCCAAATGAGGTCCCCATCACACTTACCACGTTTCCTCGTCTAGGAACAAAGGATGATTATATTCAACCTTACTACCCTCCTTCTGGTCCAGCACTGCGCTCGCAGTTTGTCCCAGACGAAATTGCGAATCCTCATATCAGATTCCCAACACTGGCAGCAAATATCAGATCGAGAAGGGGCCGGAAGGTCGAGTTGAATGTGCCAGTATTCGTGGACAAGAACACCCCAGTGCCTTTCAAGGACCCCACCGTTAACTATGATCTTCACAATTGGCCTGAGGATGATGATGTTCGAAATGGAGCTGCAAAGGAAGGCCATGTCTATATGGATGCGATGGCGTTTGGAATGGGCAGCTGCTGTCTTCAGATCACATTTCAAGCCAAAAACATAACGGAAGGGAGAAGACTGTATGACCAGCTTAGCCCGCTGGGACCCATTCTGCTGGCGCTTACGGCTGCAACACCAATATACAAGGGATTCCTTGTCGATACTGACGTTCGGTGGAATCAAATCGGGAATGCTGTTGACGATAGGACGCGGGAAGAGCTTGGCGAACTTGTAAGGAACCTTGCATTCCCTGCCTTTTGATGCAATGGAATTAACAAAGATACCAGCCTCTGAAGAATGATAGATGGAGGATCCCTAAGTCTCGATACGCTTCCAACTCCACCTATATCTCCCAGGATCCCAGGCTGCGCAAGGAGTACCTGGATCCTGAACTGATCGTGGATGAAGGCATCAAGAAACGACTTATTGAGGGTGGCATGGATGATTTGTTGGCGACGCATTTTGCCCACCTTTTCATCCGTGACCCCTTGGTCATCTTCTCAGAGGATCTGAACGAGCTGGATTTGAACAAGGCCGACCACTTTGAGAACTTACAGTCGACTAACTGGCAGCACATGCGCTTCAAGCCGCCTCCACCAGACAAGGCTGACATTGGCTGGCGTGTCGAATTCCGTTCAATGGAGATTCAAATGACGGACTTTGAGAATGCGGCTTTCAGTATCTTTATTGTTCTCGTCACTCGTGCCATTCTCAGCTTCGACCTTAATTTCTACATACCGATTCAGCGAACCACCGAGAACATGGAGACAGCTCATGCACGCAATGCTGTGCTCGACCGGAAGTTCTATTTCCGCAGAGATCCTTTCTCCCGCCGTGCCCCCAGACCGAGTCATCGTTCGACCAGCGCCAGCGAGGCCTCATCGGCCACTTCTTCTGCCTACAATACACCCCCTCCGTCACCTCCACTTGGACCAGTGGATTTGGAATACGATCTTATGTCCATTGATGACATTGTCAATGGCTCTGCTGATGGATCATTCCCGGGGCTCATTCCACTCGTTGAATCGTACTTGAATAGCGTCAATGTGGACGTGGAGACTCGGTGTTCCTTGGCTACCTACCTTGACCTCATCAGGAAACGAGCAAACGGAACTCTCTGGACAGGAGCCCGGTGGATTCGTGAGTTCGTTGCCTCTCATCCTTCGTATAAGCAGGATAGCGTGGTGTCCTCAGAGATCTGCTACGACCTTGTGAAAGCTGTGGAAGAGATGACCATAAAGGAAGGCAGGGATGGGAGCGTCGGGTGGCAATTACTCAGGAGCCAATAAAATCGAAAGCATTTGCATTATCTAGTGATGAGATTTGTTTCACAGACCTGGCATTGGTGGTTAATGTCATTCAGCTATGGATAGCATTCTATTGCGTTACTTGTTCCCATTACAAGACTTATGCAAAACCGTCTTTGATAGCCAGATCCTTTCCAGTTCTCCACCTTGCACTTTTATAATCTTGGACTGTCTCTGCAGAATCGATTGCAAGCATCCAAGCATTTCGTTCCTCGAAGCCGATCCTGCGTGGAGCCAAACTGATCTCAGGCCAGTGATGTTTTCTCATCCTCCGTTGGTCGTCGACACGAATCAGCCAGACCAGTCACCTTCCATTCCCCATTCATCTTATGGAGCACGAACAGTTCGACGCCCACATGGTCCACAACCCCATTGATCTTCGCCCTGAATGGGGCCCACACAGCCGCTAGATTCGCCGACTCGTGGACCTTCACTTCAGGGTCCCAGATGCGCTCGTCGATATTGTCCTTGATCTTGGAAATGTGCTCGACAAAGGCGCCAATTGTGCAAAATCGTGGCACGCTGGGCGGCGGGGGCCAGAGCGCCATCCCTCCTGCCTTGACGCAGTACTTGTCGAAGTCATCGCGAGACTTTGTTTCCAAGGCGGAGAGGAAACCCTTTGTCACTGCGATGATTGCGTCGACCTCCTCTGTTAGATTGCAGGTGGTTGGGGTCGAGTCATCCGATTGTCGCTGAGATTGGTTTGGTAGTGTCCAGCACATTGTGGACTTGTGGAGTTGATTGGAGATGCGGGTGCAGAAATAAAAAGAGGGTTTTTTCGCTTGCGCTGCGTGCTTCTGTGCCAGTGAATGGCAAAAAGCTGCCGGTTCCGGGGAAAGTCCTTCATTTGATCGAAGGTCGACATCCCCCCAACTGTTCATCAGCCATTTCACATGCAGGTTCCCGTTGAGAGGGACTGTATCTTGGAAGAGCAGAGGCAGATTGATCCTGCTGTTTATGCTTGAGGGAGCAGTGGGCACGTTTGATCGAGGTACCTCTCTTCGAGAAGAGTTGTCGCACGCTACAGCATCCGTCGCAATTCACGATTCGTACATGGCGTTGACAGATCTCGTCATCACGCATTGGAAAGACGTTTACAGAACGGGTTGGACGTGCCACCGTTACACTGCAAGCTGCATCAAGTTTTTACCGTCTGACAAGTACGACACGTTTAACCGCCGAACGGCAGAGGCACATGAAGATTGAATGCGGCTTGAAAGGTTGCCTCAGACTGTGTAACATGGTCAAGACCAGGAGCAACACGAGCACGATGATTGCGTAGCATTTCCCAACATCCTCCAGAAGGAGTGCTCAGCTTCTTGACCGTGTTAGCCAGCGTTCGTGGCCATATAGACCTTATGTCGGATACTTTCCGTCCTAGATGACCAGATTTGGAACTGGACATATCGAAAAATGTAACCTGCAGAGTAAGATGCGCGGAAGGATTGATTGACTCCTTGTGCAACAATACAGAATAATGATTGTATCCCGTATGGAACCTTGCTTCAGAGCCAGTCGAGGTTTTCACTGCCAGCAAGAGAAGTGTATTGAGCTGGACCAAGACTGGGGTCTTGTTATTGGCGTGGCTTCCTCTTACTCCGTGGGCCCTGTGGTCTATGCACGTGCGGATTGAAGCAGCTAGCCATCTTTGTTTTTCTTGGAGGACTCATGCTGTGTTGCGCCCATCTACATTACTCTCTGTCATCCTATCAACACCGCTGTCATCAGTGAGATGGCCATCCCCCGGGACCATCTGTTACCGGTCACCTTAACGCCACTTCATGTTCTCAGGGTTCGGAGGCCGACGACTCCACCTGACGACAACCCCCCTGACTCGTAACTATCCAGTAACTAAACTTTTGTCAGAGCTTATTCATCCATGAAGACTCCTGTCCGGCAGTAGATCTCGGCATGCGATGTCTTACATCCCCATTTCTCATGTCTTGGGCGTGGGAGCACCGGCTATTCTTCGGCACAGTTTCGAGCCGCGTGCAATAGCCTGAGCATCATGACTTCGTCTATTTCTCGTTTTCTAGGCCTATTTTGCACCGAGGAAGTCCCGTTCTCCGCAATGGAGATGATGATCTTTGCTCTTCTAGGCAGAACGGCCGGGGTGGATTTTGTGGGATCCCCACACTCTTCAGAACCCCGCAAATTCCATGACTCGTTGTCATGTAGAGCATGTATGGGAGACCACCTACTGAAGGCCTACTGACGGAATCGAGGCACGCCATGAAGATCAACAATTACCGAAAATCCAACTTTGCAAGAAGTGGTAGCGTCATTCGCGCTTTTTCTTCGTCCCACCATAATGGGTACCCGCCTATATAAGACCATGAAGCTGAATCTTGCGCGAGGGAGGAGATGGTGCAAGTCCCAAACAGCGAGTTTTGAGCCTTCAGGATGAAACTTTTGGTTGCTTCCTTCTTTGCCCTCTGGGCTGTGGGGAATGCTGCACCGAGCAGCGTCTCCAATCCCAAGGTCCATGTCCGAAATGGTACCTACATTGGGGTGAGAAATGCGAATTATCAGCAAGATTTCTTTTTAGGCATGCCGTATGCCCAGCAGCCTGTGGGAAATTTGCGATTCAAAGTTCCCCAATCTTTGAATGAGAGCTGGGACGGGGAGCGCGATGCAAAGGAGTACTCGGATATCTGTGTTGGATACGGTGTAAGTCAGCTCCTCACTGTTTGGCAGAGAAGTTAGGCAAGCTGATTAGAAGTAGTCAGACTCCATCTGGTATCCGATGTCTGAAGCTTGTCTCACCCTAAACGTCGTCCGCGGTTCGTCGGTCAATGAGAACTCGAAGCTGCCTGTTGGTGTCTGGATTCACGGGGGTGGGTTCTACATGGGTTCAGGCTCTGACCAGCGCTACAACATGTCTGCTATCGTGGCAAACTCGTATGAGATTGGTAAGCCACATGTCCAGACACAAAGGAGGCAATCTTTCAAGATGCTTACGAGTTAAGGCAAACCCTTCATCGCCGTTTCGCTCAACTACCGTCTCTCTGCATGGGGCTTCTTGAGTTCTCAGGAGGTCGTTGACAGTGGGAACACTAATATCGGGCTCAGAGACCAAAGACTGGCGCTTCAATGGATCCAAGAGAATATTGCGGCGTTCGGAGGTGACCCGACCAAAGTTACCATCTGGGGGGAGTCCGCCGGAGGAATGTCTGTTGGCTATCATCTCACAGCATACAACGGCAGAGACGATGGTCTCTTCCGCGGAGCTATTATGGAATCTGGTGGTTCAATATCCGTTAGTCCAGCCAGCTACACAGTGTTCCAAGGCTTTTACGACGATCTTGTATCGAAAGTCCAGTGCTCGGACGCTAAAGATACGCTGCAATGTCTGCGTGAAGTGCCCTTTGAGACGTTGAATGCTGCTCTCAACGGTACTGGCGGCTCGCCCAACTATAGGTTTGCACCCGTGGTTGACGGGGATTTCATCCCGAATCGCGGCAGTGTCCTCTTGAAGGAACACAAATATGTCAAAGTCCCCATCATTGCTGGTACGAACACAGACGAGGGGACAGCGTTTGGTCCCTTTGGGATCAATACCACGGAGCAATTCTACGAGTACCTCACAGGTTTGTTGGAGCGCTTTTCGGGTTTATCGCTATAGACCTGCTGACTGTCAAGATAGATGCCAAATATGGAGGGTCAATCAAGCTCCCAAATCCAGTAGCAAAGCAAATCCTACGGCTCTATCCCGACGACCCGTCCCAAGGTATCCCTGAGTATCTCGGCTCTAAACGTGTGCCATCAATGGGCTACGAATGGCGACGTACATCCGCCTACGCAGGCGATGTGATGATGCACACCATCCGCCGCCGACAATGCGAAGCGTGGGCAGAGACATCAACGCCGGCGTACTGCTACCGATTCAATGTCCACGCAGCGGACGTTCCTCTAATCATGGGAGCCACCCACTTTGAGGAGGTGGCGTTTGTTTTCTACAACATTGAGGGACTTGGCTATCATAGTGGTAAACCGTTTGCCGGCACGCCTGAGTCGTACAAGCAGCTCAGCAAGCTGATGACGAGTATGTGGGCTTCATTCATCCACGACTTGGATCCAAACTCGGGCATCCAGAACTCGCCGGTGCACTGGGATCCGTACGGCAGAGGAAAGCCAGTCGACTTGCTCTTCGATGCCAATGTTACGAGCCACATGGAGCCCGACACATGGCGGAAGAACGGGATTGACTATATCAATTCCCAGGCTGATGTGTATGGGCGATGATCACCAACGATCATGCGCCTTGAGGGTCACAAAGCATCTCTCTGATTGTAGCAGAGATGTAGTGCCGTGACAGTTTGGGGTACTGCTACTGTTGTAGCTACAGTTGTACATAGGACGTTGAGATAATGATATATATCTTCAAGAACAAGAACTTTTCATAAGACTTAGCAGGTACTTTCTGTCAACATATCCAGCTTTCGTCGATAACACCGACATCACCATTCTGTTAGGTCCAGTTATCCCCAGTCTGCTCCACGTCATTGCGACTGCTCATCTTCTAGATAGGATGTCCAGTTTAACAACTCGATAACATACCTCCGAACAAGGAACGTATAGTTCACACCAGGATGTTTAAAACGGTATCTAAGGGCAGACTGCTCCATACACCATGTCAATACTCTAAAAGCTGGTCCAAAGACTGCTCTATCCAAAGCCTGGTTGTAACATACGGAGTACAATTATAATTTCTGGAAACCAACGCACAGTTAATACTAATACATACTCGGGTCTACCCAGAAAATATAACAACAACATCGATAATTATAAGAAATGACGACATGTATCCCTTCATAAGAGACTTATTGAGAGTCGACATCCTACGTACATGATCCTAAAGTCCATAAGAAGTGGGAGGAGGATTCTTATTCAGGGTACGAAAATTACGGGATACATATGCCAGGAAATACCAGTATCTTACCTTTGGCAGGCAGGTATTACCATTATTATCACCCTCCTTATAGGGAAGTTAGGTACTTGCTGATTTTCGGACGAGCCATGTTTGCACCAGCAAATTAATCTCCTAGAATAAAGTTTTTCCCATACGCATTCCGTTTACCTTGCAAATATCTGCGGACCGCTAGGACATTCTTCTGCATGATCTGGACAGTATGCATGTCTTGATGCTAGCTATGCCGGTCAACAATTCCGACCAACCATAGACCATAGATGAGCCCCTCGCTATCATGGGGGAGATACGGTGGAGAATGCTGAATAATTGCCGAAATTAGTAGAGACTCGACGAATTACCTTTTTGGGTTTAGCTACCTAAATCTCCTTTCTGCGGTTCAGCAATGAGATGAAGATGATTACTTACACAAATAGTCCCTCAGGTGGTATTAATAAAAGACAAAGGGCAGCTGTACGTAAATATCAATGAACGCAAGCCTTCAACATTAGATGAGGAACATAATAGCTGAATATAGGGTCTATATGGAACTATAGACAATAGACTACGGTAGTATTCAATGCGCGAACAGCTAGGGAAGAATTGGAATTATCTGAGCGTTCCAGATTGATCTCTGATCCATTTCGTTTCCGCCGATTGCTTTGTTGCTTGTTCTAAGTTCCAGAGGAAGCATTCTACCTTGCATTCTCTGGTGGTTCGAAGTTAGGTCTGCGATGTAATACCGTCAAGAAGAGTGTTCTACCAAGCATCGAGCATCCATGGTTGGTAATCAGTACTACAATAGGGGTTAGGGGATCGATCAAATGCCGCTAAGCCGTAGCCTTGCATGGCCCGGATCTTCTATCTGCAGATTGGCTGTTGACTGTCCAACCAGCCGCATGCCCTGAGGAATTTGAAATAGATGCAGAAGGTATTGCAAATTAGCCCCAAACCTCATCGAGCCTGTCCGTTTCTGGACAAGCAAAATCATCTACTCAGGCAGTACCGATAGTTTGTCTCGCTTAACTCAGTTGGGCAGGACGTCACGCGTGCCATGATCCGCCTCTTTTCCGGCTCTAGGAGGCCCCGAATCTCACTGTAGCTGAGCACATAGGTACGAGGACATCCTTACCTCTTTGGGCGGGTTGCACGCTGATGGTAGTGAACAGTATCCATAAGGATTTGCCTGAGATCTGCATCCGCATAGATCCGCATACTGTACTACCCATCTACAGATCTAGGCGTGCAGGCTGCGGCAGGAAAAAGGTGTATTGACCAGTCAGCTGATGTCGATTTGTGCACATTTCTCCTTGCTTCCGGCGTGACTATTGACCAGAAACTCGGATGCAAGCGATGAAAATCGCTGTCGCGGAGGATGCCGATCTGGGTTGTAAGCACATAATAGCGACTTATTAGTACAAACCAAGCCATCGTGCTGCTGTGTAACGTGAGTAATCATCACTTCGCTATCTGTTTGATCTACTAGTGCATATTATTGCCCGCTGATTAAGACAAAGAAAGTGTTTCGAGGCCACGATCCCACCGTAGGGTGGATAGAGATCGAAGCGAGACATAGATCCATTTCATACCCCAAACAAACCTTGCTTACGCATTATCTGGAACTTTTTTTGAGCCTGTCCTATTAGACCAGAATGACCGGTCATGATCCGATAGTTTGGTAATGGTACACGGAATAGGTAGGCTGAGATTTGAGAGCACGCCATCATAGTGATGATATCTGATCCCATGAGGTAACTTCAGCAGAAGCTATCCTAGCAAAGTGGTCCTTCGGATTCCATCTGACTACCCGTTCGGGATCCATTGATCTCCGGGTACCACCACCGAGCAATCAGAAAACGACACACATATGTAGTGGGCCACTCTTCATACTTGACCATTTAAGATCAAGAGTCCAGGACAAAAACAACCAAGATAAGGCAGGATCGACTACTTCGACTGCATGGATGGAGACCAACTCTTTTGACCACGGGGGTCAGATGATTGAATGAGGTACGACTATGACTTTTAATGATCTACCTACAGGCCCCAAACCATGAAATACTCTGTACAGAATGAACCTATGCACATAGCTACATGTAGGTACAATACTCCAGTACCGATCTGTGGGCTGGCTAAAACACCCCTTACCCCTTAGGATCAATCCGAGTTTAGGGACAAACTAGCAAGATCCAACCAAGTTCAATATCGGATCCCTCAACAATCAATCAGTTCCCAATCAGGATAACAGACCGGGAATGAGGATCTGGGTTCGACACCGACTACTCCCAGCTAAACGCGGCAGGAAGAGTCTAGGATCTGGAATTTAGGCCGCCCTAGTCATCCAGCTATGGTGGTATCTTTCTAGAAAGAGATGGTCGTATCTTGGATCGTCCTTACTGTAGGCGTGGGCTCAATTCGTCAATATACAATACGGAATAGCTTAGAGTACTGTAAAAGACCTGTCTGGCCAGGAATGGAATATGGCGAACGGAGTACTTCCGCAATAAATCTCGGACATGCATGCCTCGTGGAATAGAAACACAGATCACCCAAGTACATACTTCATATGGCATACGGACTTGGATTTCAACGATGATTTTTACGAGACTGAGCAGAGTAGAGTACCATAGATTGGACTACGGCTCCCGGCACCGACGGACTGGGTCGTCTGTGGTATCCCATACACGCTGGGCGACTGAATTTCTCCCGCCACTTTCTGTCCGTGCTCGGCCGAAGATCGGTTGACGTCTTTCGTTTCCGCGTGGTCGCCGATAGTACCGTATCAAAAATGGAAGACTAGTGATTATGGTCCCTCACAAATAATTCTCTAACATTTGGAAGCATTATTTTTCGAGTTACTCTACAGGACAGGCAATACGTCAGATGCCGCGGAGATCCGAATCTGAAATCTCGAGAACCAAATGTAATCAATCCGTAACCTTGGGCCAAGCGGGATGGTACCTGACTATGATCACACTGACCCCTTCTAGACTAGGCCACAAGGAAACCATCAAAATTCCAAGTATCCCATTTGTAAGTCTCCCACGGATCCTTCCCAGGCTGCAGCGGAGTGTATCCGGGATAAGCAGCAACGACCGAACTCCATCTACGAGACGCTAGCTGAAATTAGGTTACACCACATCACCATAGCGTTGAGCAGGGCCGCCGATTTGTAATTGTCAGATTGTGCGGTGAGAGGACTTGCCATCCTCACCTTCCATTTCGGAGTCAGGAGAACACTCAATAGTGTCGCTGTGGCGCAGCCAAAAATTCTTTGTCGTAAAAAGCAGTCTGATGACCCATGCAAGATTGGAGATGAGATTAGATCAGGTGAGATGAGATGAGATCCTGAGATCCGATCCGATGCGATGCGATTCGATCGAAACACTAGGCTGGATACAGGTAGGCAGGTTTCACTTGGTATTTTAAAAAAAAACATGGCCAAACCATCTGGTTACATAAATACATGTTCGCAGTACAGGCATGTCAGCCATACACCAGCAGCCTGTGTTTGCAGCTGGAGGTTTATGCAAGCCAAAACTCAAATAAGTCTGCCATACTCTATAAATCGGTAAGTCCAAGAAAGAGTCGGCTCTTGGTCATCGCAACTACGGGAATTTCCCCGTAACATTATTGATATTTAATTAAAATCGACGATATGAGACCCATGGAAGTGGTTCTGGTGGATTCTAGCGCGATTTTGGGATTCGGCACTCGGTGATTGGTTGATTACAGTACTCTGTAAGATTCCCGTCAGGGTCTGGCTGGTACACACTATACCGCTTTCAGTCATCCAAGATCCAGCCCTTTCTCCTATATCAACATCATCATAAGTAACTATGCGGTACTCCAACCTACGAATACACAACCACGATGGGCGATGGCAAATCTTCTAGCTTCCTGCAACTTACCAGCGACGCTACGTACGCCACGGAATTGAACTCTGGGAATAAAACTCTATCCAAAGCCATGCGGCACGCATCCTACGCTATGACAAAGTCTATCTGGAGGCCCATGCGTCCGATGTGCGCTAGACAGTCACTGGACGACTAGAATCTGTTCAGAGTTCACCTCCTGAGCCTTGCACGTCATGAGGTACCCCGTGACGAGGCACAGCCAGAGAGCGACTCTTGAAATCCTGTGCGGAGTAGAGCCTGTATCCCAAACATCGGCCTCTGAAACAAAGGTACTCTGCGATGCTATGGAATATATTATGGCTGTTGCACCCTTGAAGTAATTTAGCGAGTGCTAGACTGCCTCCCATTGTCGGAGATTAACAATGTAATGCCCAGTTACTACAGAATACGGAGTACTAACTTGTTGCAATTACTTGGTT